AGCTGCATGAATCAGAAAAGCCTTCCAGCCCTAGTGGGTCTGGAACAGGAGGAAGAGCTGAAGTCCAAGGTTGAGGAGCCAACCCCTAGAGCTGACACTTTGAACTCAGGCTGCGAGCTTCCTAAACTGTTAGAGAAAAATTTCCTGTTTTAAAAACCATTCATTTGTAGTATTTCTACTATAACTGCACTAGAGGACCAAAAGGAGCTCTGGTAGCATAGTGCCTAAGACACTTGACTGCTAACCAGAAGGCTGGAGGTTCAAACCCACCAGCCACTCCTCAGAAGGGAGGTTGGTCAATACCACCTCGGAAACCCAAAGAGGGGTCACTATGAGTTGGATCCAACTCAATGGCACTTGGTAAAGTAGAGCGTCAGTAAAAAAAAAAAAAAGGGAAGAGCCTCAATGGGATGGATTGACAGTGTCTGCAACACTGGGCTCAAACACAGTAACAACGGTGTGGATGGTACAGGACTGGCAGTATTTTGTTCTATTTCACACAGGGTTGCCACGAGCCAGAACTTATTCCATTCAACAACAAATACTTACTGTGTGCATTTTCTCTTAGTAGAAAATTTTCTGTGAAGATTATGGAAATGAATGAGATTCAGATTCTACCCTCAGCAACCCTGTGATCATTTGGCGAATGGTGTTGGCAAAGCAAGTACACAAATAATTTCATTTTTATGCAAAATGTGGTAAGTGTAACAAAAAAGGTGTGGAAAAACTATGATTCAGAAAGGGAGTTGTTACATCCAGTTAGAGTACTTAGAAAAGGCTGCTTATACAGCAGTGATTCTCTTTTTTAATCAACAGCTATGGATGTTTATTAGAATCACTTTGGGAGATTTAACAAACCCTGATGACTAGAATTTACCCAGACCAAATAATTCAGAATATTTTTGGCAAGTAACCCAAAATCAGAACTTTTGTACAAATCCTTAAGTGATTCTGATGTGCAGGCAAGTTTGAGAACTATTGCTGTGAAGGACTGAGGTGAAGGAAGAATAGCTAGAACTGAACAATAAGTAGGGTTTCAGTTGAAGGGGGTAGAATATTGGAGCACTCGGAAGACCCCTGTCCTCAATATAGCTAATTTCTTTTCATTCTCCAAGTCTTGTTAAAGTATAAAAATCTCTGACTGCTTTTTCCTTACTCCCCTGATGATGATGATGATGATGATGACAATAAAAGCTGACAATTATATGTTGTTGTTAGGTTCCATCAAGTCCATTCCAACTCACAATGGACCCACGTGCAACACTGCTGTCCCTGTGCCATCCTCACAGTCTTTGTTATGTTTAAGCTGATTGTTTCAGCCACTGTGTCAATCTATCCCATTGAGGGTCTTCTTCTTTTTCTCTGACCTATTTTACCAAGCATTATGTCATTCTTTAGGGACTGATTCCTTCTGATAACATGTCCAAAATATGTGGAATAAAGACTTACCATCTTTGCTTCTAAGGATCTTTCAGACTTCTTCCAAGACAGATTTGTTCATTCTCCTGGCAGCTCATGGTATATTGAATATGCTTAGCCAACACCATAATTCAAAGGCATCAATTCTTCTTGACCTTCCTTATTCATTGTCCAGCTTTCTCATGCATATAAAGCAATTAAAAATACCACGGCTTGGATCAGGTGTACTTTTGTCTTCAAGGTGACAGTTTTGCTTTTTAACACTGTAAAAAGACCTTTGGCTGAACATTTGCCCAATGCAATGTGTCATTTGATTTCTTGGCTGCTGCTTCCATGCTAATTGATTATGGATCCAAGTAAAATGAAATCTTTGACAATTTCAATATTTTCTCCATTTATATTCAATTATATAGCACTCACTGTGTGCAAAATACTATAATAAGCACAAGAAAGGAGCTCTAGCATCTTAATGGCTAAAGCATATGGCTGGTTATCAAAAGATTGGTGATTCGAACCCACTAGCTGAGCCATGGGAGAAAGTTGAGACAGTCTGCTTCCATGAAGATTTACAGCCTTGGAAACCCTACAAGCAGTTCTATTCTGTCCTAATGAGTCACTGTAAATCAGAATCAACCTGACAGGAGTGGGTTTGGTTTATTGTAAGCACTGGAGGCAATCACTCATTTATGCCAAGAAAGTTGGAAGACAGCTTCCTGAACAACCAACTGGAAGAGACCCATATTTGTGCCCATTCCAAAGAAAGGTGATCCAACAAGATGTGAGAAGTATTGAACAATATCATTAATATCACACATAAGAAAAATTTTGCTGAATATAACTCAAAAATTGTTGCAGCAGTATATTGACAGGGAACAGCCAAAAATCCAACCTGGATTCAGAAAAAGATGTAGAACATCATTGATGATATCAGCTGGATCTTGGCTGAAAGTAAAAAATATCCAAAAGATATTTACCTGTGTTTTCATGATTATGAAAACACATTCAACTGTGTGGATCATAATAAATTATGGATAACATTGCAAAGAATGGTAATTCCAGAACATGTTCTCATGAGAAAGCTGTACACAGACCATGAGGCAGTCATTTGGACAGAACAAGGGGATACTTCATGATATAAAATCAGAAAAGGTGTGTGTCAGGGTTGTGTCCTTTTACCATACTTATTCAATCTGTATGCTGAGCAAATAATCTGAGAAGCTGGACTATATGAAGAAAAATGCAGCATCAGGATTGGAGGAAAACTCATTAACAACCTGAGACATGCAGATGACAAAACCTTGCTTGATGAAAGTGAAGAAGACTTGACACACTTATTGATGAAGATCAGAGACTACAGCCTTCAGCATGTATGGCACCTCAACAGAAAGAAATCAAGTCCTCACAACTGGACCAATAAGCAATATCATGATGGGATTAAAATACTCCAGTACTCATGTATTAAAACAAGATAACTAAAATTAGGTGTTCTTATTCAAGCCTCCCTTGGAACACGATTACAAGCACATCACATTATATTGCATGTGAACTTATTGCACTTCACAGATACTGTTTTTCCCAGGTTGAAGTGCTGTGGCAATCCTGTGTTGAAGAAGCACCATTTTTCCAACAATATGTCCTCATTTTGCGTCTCTTTATCACATTTTAGTAATTCTCACAATACTTCAAACTTTTTCATAATGCTGTTTCACACTTAATAGATTACAGTATAGTGTAACCATACTTTTATATGCACTAAAACCAAACTCACTGCCGTTGAGTCAGATCTGACTCATAGCGACCCCTCCTTGGGTTTCCAAGGAGGTATCACTATAGAAGTAGATTGCCCAATCTTCCTTCGGAGGAGTGGCTAGCGGGTTTGAATCATCAGCCTTCTGGTTAGCAGTCAAATGCCTTAGCCACTACGCCACCAGAGCTCCCTTATATGCACTAGGAAACAAAAAAATTCATGTGACGTTCTTAACTGTGATATTTGCTTTATTGTGGTGCTCTGGAACTGAACCTGCAATATCTCCATAGTATGCCTGTATACCTTAATCTTATCATGACTTACAAGATACTATAAATGTTTACTAGTTTATCTCTTCCATTAATTATTCATTTATTTAACAAACATTTATTGTTCACATGCTCTATGCCATAAAGTATGCTTGGTACTGACAGCATAATGTTAAATTAACAGCACAATGTTAATATTTTATCTGCCAAGCAGTTTTCGTATAAAGCAGACATCTGCAAACTATGGTCCACAGCTCATCTGTTTTTTGATTGTTTTTGTTTTTTTGGTGGTGGTGTTTTATTTTGTTTTTTAATAAAGTTTGTTTGAGCCACAGACATGCTCATTGGTTTATGTACTGTCTATGGTTGCATTCACTCTACAAAAGCATAGTTGGAAAAGAGACTGGCTGCAAAATCTAAAATATTTGCTAGTTTACCCAAAAATAAGCCATTTAAGAAAAAAAAGTTTGCTGATTCCTGGTGAAAGAATAAGAAAAACAAGAAAACCATGAACGACTACCCAGTGAAGTAAGTGCTATAGTGCCCAGGATACTATGGGAACCTAATAGGTTAGAGGGTCAGTGAATGTTTTCCAGACAGCATGATATTTTAGTTAATTTTGGAAGGTGAGTACATAATAGTTATCTAGACAAAGAAGAGCAGTTAGACTTGTCACGAAGATCAGACAGGACAGTTTAGCAGCAATCCAGAGGGCTAACAGCAGCAGTAGGAATAGAGTGTGGATATATTTAAGAGATGTCAACAAATTCTTAAATCTTAAGGAAACACAAGTTTGATTTCTTGATTCTCACTATCTACCATGCTACTTGTGCACTCAGTTGGCATTTCTTACATGTTAATGGAAAAGATTGCCTTAAGTAAAGGATATTGAAATGAGGAGAAAATATTTAACTCTATTTGTCCTTTGTTGTTATTGATAGGTGCTGTCAAGTCATTTCTGACTCATAGCAACCCGACGGGAGACAGTAGAACTACTCCTTAGAGTTCCCTAGGCTGAGAGCTTTATAGGAACAGATCTCCAGTTCTTTTCTCCCACAGAATGGCTGGTGGGTTAGAATTCCAACCTTCCGATTAGCAGCAGAGAGCTTAACCATCGAGCCACCAGGGCTCTTTAAGATAATTAAATTGTAAGAATTCTGATTGTTTTTTACCCAGTATCCAAGAGGACAAGAAATAATATGCAAAGGAGAAAATGATCTTATCCTAGAGTAGAAAAAGACGTACCTATCTTTTCATTATTAGTATTGTTTTCAGGTTTTAGATACAAACCAACCAACCAGTTTCTATTGAATTGATTCCAACTCAAGGTGCCCTTGTGTGTGTCAGAGTAGACCTGCACTCCACAGGGTTGTTAATAACGGTGGTCTTTTGAAAGCAGATCCCCAGGGCTCCCTTCCAAGGTGCCTCAGGGTGAATTCGAACTGTCAAACCTTTCAGTTAATAGCTGAGTGGTGAATTGCTGGCACCACCCAAGGATTCCATTGATGCATAAAACTATTAACAATATAATTTTACCAATGAGAAATTATTGCAATATACTATACCTGGAAAATTCATGGGCAGTTCAAATGGTTGTGAAGACGGACAACCTTCAATGTGCTCACAAATTTCAGCAATGATCTTTTTAATTTTGAGGCCAATAATTTTAATCACTTCTCCTGTTGATAAACAGCATTCATTTCCAAACATTTCATAAATTGAGCCTGAAAAAAAAAAGAGTAAAAACAAGCTTTATATAAAAACAATTAAACAATGAAGAACAAAATAGGAGGCAAAGCCTAATACAAACTATTTTTACTCAGTTCCTCTGTTAGCTACCTACTGAACAGTCAGTTAATCAAGCATGAAAAACTGTACAGCATGTTCCAGCAAACATGTTAGTTGTTCACTGCATCCACTGGGCAAAGTATAAACAATCTTTTTTATTATTATTGTAAATTGAATTTATAGTTTCCTAACCACCTTTAGCTCATCTTCCCAAGGTCAAACTAGAAACATGCCTTCCCCTGTTACGATTTATTTTCTATTTTTTCTGGGTCACAGTGTTAGGCTCCTATGAGTCAATGATGATCTAAGTATTGCAAACAAAGTTGTGATACGATCCAAGATACAAAGTCAGAGTCTTCACACTAGGGCTCTGTAATAAGAGCATCGCATCTATTTATCTGACTTGGTTCTCTTTGTCGTCATGAATATAAGACTTTTAGTGCATTTTTAACTCTGGGTGTTTGACAAGCTGAAAATAACTCCCACTATCTTTATGGTAATAGGGGGCAAACCAGCACAGATAAATTGAAAAGCTTCATTTCAGTTCAGAATTGCAGTCTTCTTCCCAACAAACCTTGTACCATAGATGCTAAAGTTAAACTTTTTATCCTTTATTTTCCTTTTATATCTCTGATGGATAATTGTGGGCAGTGAAATCATTATATGAGTAACAGGAAAGAAGAGAGGCAAAAGTTCTGGATAATCTATTCTTATTTAAAAAAAAGAAAGAAAGGAAGAAAAAGAAAATGGAGGCAACTCAACAACTCCATCTCTGGCCTTTTGTCACTTTACAGTTGAACAGTAAACTGAAAGTTGATGTAAATACATATCCTCATTAACATATAAAGTATATGAGCACAAAATTTTATGTTTGTTTTCTGAATTATTCTCTGTTGAACTCCTATCCCATAGAATCATATGCTTGACATATAGCAGCAGCCACCCAAAGCACTTTTTAAGGCAGGAATGGTTATTATAAACGTTATTAAGCCTAACAGCTAATCCAACTCCAAACAACTTTCTAAGCAGCAAATCTTATCAGAGACTCAGTAGAAAACAGATGGAACATGCCTCAAATAATTTGAGATTTTAATAAAGGGGAAAATTATATAGATATGAAACACACTGCTATTGAGTTAGTTCCAACTCATCGATGTTGTTATGTGCCATCGTGAAGTTAGCTCTGACTCATATCGACCCTATATACAACAGAATGAAACACTGCCGGGTCCTGTGCCAGCCTCACAATCCCTGCTTTATCTGAGCCCTTCATTGCTCATATCCAACTCCTAGTGACCCTATAAAATATTCCCAGGCTAGTAACAGGTGCTCTGACCACACTTAAGTCCAGCAACTATTAAAACCAGAAGGAGATAATTATGTACAATGGAGTGATTTGAGAGGAGCTGTGACCTTCAGTCTAGGGACAAAACCACTTCTAGGCAACCTAAAACAAAAATGGCCTGACCTCACCCTTCTCCCTACATTTGTTCTTCTGCTGAGACCCCACTGGCCAAATCTAGCTAGAAATCAGAGGATAAGGAAGCTACTGGTGCCTCTACGGAAGTCAGCATCCCAGGGAGAATGAAACCGAAAATCCAGCACACCAACCTTATTGTTTATTACTTAATGAGGATCATTTTTGCAGATACAACAGTGTATCAGGAGTCCCTGGATGGTGCGAATGGTTCATGCACTTGGTTAATAAATGAAAGACCAGCAGTCCGAGTCTACTCAGAGGTGCCTCAGAAGAAAGTCCTGAAAATCTGCTTCTGAAAAATTAACCCATTGCCACTGAGTCAACTCCAGCTCATAACAACTCTATGTACTAGCCATTGAAAACCCTATGGAGCACAGTTTTACTCTGACATGCATGAGGTCACCATGAGTTAGAATCGACTCAATGTCAACTGGTCAACAGTGTACCTGTTCCTCACATTTTCAGTATATACAGCCACAACTCTTTCCTTTTCTCATTGTTGGTATTTTGTCCCATCAATTCTGACTCACAGTGACTCCCTATGTGAAGAGTAGAACCGCCTCATTGGGTTTTTAAGACTATGACTTTTCAGAAGTAGATCATCAGGCATGCCTAATGAGGCCCCTTTGGGTGGATTTGAATCACCAGCATTTCGGCTAGTGGTTGAACACGTCATTGTACAACCCAGGAACTCCATTCTTATGTTATTCCTTTAAGTTCATACTTTCATTAATGTCAATACGTAGTGTCAGAAACCTCAAATCCTTTGTGGAACAAATTGGGATATTAAAATAATAATAATAAATTCACAATGACATTTCCTCCTATGAATTCTAAATAGTTATTTTCTATAATCCTCAACTGGCAATTAATCTTATACTAACATTTTACATCTTTAGTATTACCTCATCTTATACTTAATTATTTATGAGTTTAGTTTTTATTACTCTCAGTTAAATTTTAAGCTTCTTGAGAGAAAATATAGTGTTATATTTTTCCATAACCATAACACATTAACCTCCTTTCTGCATTCATTCAGCAAACTCTAATGAAAACCCACTATGTGCCAGGCATTGTGATTGACAGTAGATAATAGAGATAAAAGCATAATCTCTTCCTCCCAGAAGCACTGCTTTGAATGGAACAGAGAAGTAAGCAAACAATTGCAAAAGATTATGAGGAAGCTATAAAATGGGAGCTCTGGTAGCATTAGTGCCTAAGACACTTGACTGCAAACCAGAAGGCTGGCAGTTCAAACCCACCAGCCACTCCTCAGAAGGAAGGCTGGGCAATCTACTTTCGTAGTGATACTGCCTCAGAAACCCAAGGAGAGGTTGCTACGAGTTGGGTCCAACTCGATGGTACATAACAACAACAACATAAAATGGGAATTACAGAAGAGCCCTGGTAGCACTATGGTTAAGCACTGGGCTGCTAATCAAAAGATCAGTAGTTTAAAGGCACCAGCACACCATGGAAGAAAAGACCTGGTCGTCTGCTCCCATAAAGATCACAGTTTAGGAAACCCTAAGGGCCAGATCTACTCTCTCCTATAGGGTGGCTATGAGTCCGAATCCGATTGAGGGCATATAACAATAATACAACTTGGGAGTGTATTGGGAGGGCCATTTAATTGAGCGATTACATGGGAAAGAGATTAGGGAAGGCTTCCCGGAGGAGGTTCCAGCTGAGCTGAGATGCAAGGACAGGTAAAGGGATTAGTGAAATGGAAAAACACCTGACACATTATGGAAACTAAATAATTATCTCTAACATGTAAGGTAAGAAGGAAAAAGTGTTAAAAAATGAAACCAGAGAAGTAGAGAGGGTCCAGATCTTGCAGTTTTATGAAATCACCAGGAAACCAAAAAGCTTCTCAAAGTCTAAAACAACCTCGTAGTCAGACTACATTTCTGAATATTAGGATTTAACGAGAGGTCATATGTTCTTCAGGTTCTTGCTATCCATAGTATGGTACACTGCATCACCTGGAGCTTGTTAGATCTCAGCTGGCCCCCAGGTTTGCCAAATCACAATCTGCAATTAATAAGATGCCCAGATAATTCTCAAGGGCTTTAGAGGTTGAAAAGCAGTGGTGTAGACAACAAATGTATATCTGAAATAATCTCTGTCCTGAGATTGTTGCAAAACTAACCAGAAAGGGGAGGATATGTCATGCGGAAAAAACATCAGGTGTCATTGAGATGGAAAATATTGTAAGAGGGGACAGGAAAGTGCAAGGATTTTAAGAAGAGAAGTGATGTGGTAAGATTTTTCTTTGTCACATGAAATCCCAATTTATTTAACCTTGTCCATGTCAGCAGAAGACTGTTGAACTTAATTTCAGTGCAAGGAGTGCCTAATTGCAGATTTAATGTAAATCAAAATGACTGGTTTGTAATGCCATCTTTCTTTCAAAGGTTCATTTGGAAGCCAAAATGAAAAGATATATTTATGTGAGATTACATATCAATTTACAGAGAATAGAAGCCAAAGAATTCTATGAAAAGAAAACTCTGTTTGTTTTAGTTACAAGAAATGCTTCCGATTTTTTCATTCTCTTTCCAAGCATCTCTCTTCTTAAAAAAAAAAAAAAAAAATACTTCAGTGATTCTAGTCACATAAAGGAAAAAATCCTCATGCAAATAATGGTCTTTAATATTTCTGTTTATTTTGGGAATCTGAGTGCTGCAGTTAATACGTTGTTACAAACCAAAATGTGAAGGTTTGAGTCCATTCTAAACCACACTGAGGTAAGGCCTGGTGATCTAATTCCAAACAATTGAACATTGAAAACCTCTATGGAGCACAGTTCTACTCTGATACCCATGGGTTCGCCATGAGTCAGAGTTAGCCACATGGCAACTAGTACTGATATTGGTACTTCAAGATTTTATAACTTTCCATTTGCTCTAACCAGCAAAGCTGCTAATTCATATTTCCTAAGGAGGGTGTGCAACAGTGTCCAGGAGTAGGAAGCTGACTCTGTGATCAATAATAAAATACAACAGAGCTCAAGTGTCTGCAGCTGGAAGCCTTCTTATACTGTGTTGTCACCACCATGTCTCTTAAAATACATACTTTTGTTGGTAATAATATAAAACGGTGAATTTAAAACATAGTCTACATTCCTATCCTCAGAACAACCATATATAATGTGTAATTGCTTTTTAAAAAATTGTTGAGATATATGTCTAAAACATGTGTTTGTGTACATATAGGCATATGTATTAAAATGGTTTTTACTTCATTTTAACCACAAGACATGTATTTTGAATATGCAAATCTCAAATCTATTAAATCTTTACAGACTGATTCCTTCCAAGTCAGCGCATATGTATTCAGGATAATGCCAAACATCAGAGAAAGCTGGAACAAAGCAGCCTGTTTTCAGTGATCAAACATCACCCCTGAAGGGTGTAATGAAAGAGTCATGTGTCTTTGAAATCACCTTTT